AGTTGGTTAGGTAGCCAGATTCACATGGGTCAAGCCATCTTGCAGCTGGGTCAGTAAAATCCATGTTCCTCTCTTTCTCTCAGATTTCTACAGGAACACGTAAGAATGCACAGAATTGTTTGTAGTCCACACAGGGGTCCTCAAACTTTTTAAACAGGGGGCCAGTTCACTGTCCCTCAGACCGTTGGAGGGCCGGACTGCGGGCCCCAGGATGAGTTGGCTGCTAAACACCTGGCAGGCTGGATAAATGTCCTAGGCGGGCTGCATGTGGCCTGCGGGCCATAGTTTGAGCATGCCTAATTAGGGCCTTGGTGCCCACTTGATCACATTCTGGCTCTGCCACATCAAAGCTGTGCAACTTTGGTTAAGTCACTCAGCCTCTCTGAATCTTTGTTTACTCATATATAAGGAGAACTATATCTACCTTATGGGATAGTTGTGAAGGTTTAGGTAAGAAAATCCCTGAAAGCATCTCCTTCCATCCCTGGCATGTGAGAGGTAGTTTTCTGTCCGTGTAATTAGAAGCCCGTGACTGGGCCCAAAGGAAAGTGCCAATTTCCCTGGCTCCCAGGGAGAGGAGGGTGTTTGGGTGCAGTGTTCCAGGAACTTCCCACTTGGACAAGTTTCTTATTTGTGTCAAGACCATTCTCCTCCACTCCATCTTCCATTCTCGCCATGGGCACCACTGGTCGCCATCCACCCAGCCTGCAGATAAGCCAACAACAATGTTATCGTGGCTGCCAGGCCCTTTGGGCAGAATTCCTTTGTTGGCAATCTTGGCACGTGTGGGGGTTCTGCGTGGCTTGAGGGAGCCAGGGAGCAAAGAGTGAGAACTTTGTAGAAGGTGGGGTCAGACCTTCATCTCGAACGAGAGCAGATGGACTTGAACCAGCACTCCTACATGGCTGTGTGGAGGGGGACGGTGGTCCACCATGAATTAGGAGACTTCACCCTGGTTTCTTGCTGTGTGATCTTGGTCGAGTCACTTAACCTCTCTGAGCCTTTCAAAGATGCCTGTCAAGTGGAGATAAATAACAACTCGCCAACTGTAAAGGGCTCCATAAACAGAAAATAAATGTTGGCGAGGATGTGGAAACAGTAGAACCTTTGTGTACTATTGGTGGGAATGTAAAATTCCACACGCCTCTGTGAAAAACAGTATGCAGGTTCCACGAAATATGAAACATAGAATTACTATATGAGCCCGCAATTCCACTCGTGCGTGTGTATCCAAAAGAATTCAAAGTGGAGTCTTAGAGAGAGATTTGCACGCCCATGTTCATAGCAGCGTCAGTAAGAATAGCCAAAAGGTGCCCATCACCAATGATTGAATGATGTAGGCATACAGTGCATATTACTCAGTCCTAAAAAGGAAGGGAATTTCATGAACCTGGAGGACATTATGGTAAGTGAAATAAGCCAGTCACAAAAAGGCAAGTACCATATGATTTCATTATGGCAGACACCTAGAGTGGTCAGATTCATAGAGACAGAAAGTAGATTAGTGGTTAGGAGAGGCTTGGGGGCGAGGCAATGAGGAGTTATTGTTCCAGGGGTGTGGAATTTCAGGTTTGCAACACGGAAAGCCTTCTGGAGATGGCTTTGGTTCTACGATAGTGTAGGGGTTCTTAATGCCACTGAACCAGACACTTACACATGGTTAAGATGGCAAATGCTATGAATATTTTACCGCAGAAAAAAGGTGTTTATATAACCACAACAACACCACCTTCATGAAATCAACTTGCCTTGACTGAAATCAAGCCTTTCTACTTGGCTATATGTCTTGCCAATGTCTCAATCCCACATAACTGAAAATTATGGGTGAATTCTTGATGTTACCAATTTATCAGATAGTTATGGTGGCACTCAGGGGTCAGAAAAAGAGAGGAGACACAAAATGGACAGCATCTTTATTTGGAGGTCCTAGGATTGGTCAGACAGAAGCTGTTGCCAAATGAGACAACATTTAGGGCAATGCTTTGTGACCGTAAAGTGGCCCAGTTCAACGGAAGAAAACTCTACTCTTAAAGCAATGTCATGTGCTGTCTTCATCTGAGCCCAAGAAACTACCCTCAATAAAGGCAAAAAAAAAAAAAAAAAAAAAAAAAATCTAAGACAGGTAGTGGGTTAACCTCATTAAGCTTCTGTGAGTTGTGTTTTGACATGACCCTTTAGGAAATAAAAAAATTAGACTGCTGGATTGTGATGAACTCTAAGACAGTGGTTCTCTAAGACAGTGGTTTTTAAATTATAAACCACTTGAGTCAAAATCACCTGGGGGTGGTGATAAAAAAAACCACAACCCAAGGTTTCCCCTCAAATATACTTAATTGGTATTTCTGGGCATCGAGCCTGGGAATTAGTATTCTGGACAAGCCCTGGTGATTCTTATTCACTGAGTGAGAAGAAAGGGCCCAAGGCCAGCTGAAGGGAGTTAAGGAGAGCCAGGACAGACACAGTGCTCATCTTGGTCAGCCACCATTGTGATGGGAGAAAAAACAGCATGGCCACAGGGGACTGAGAGTTAGTCACAGGGTGGAGGCCAGCGGGGGTTGACGCTGGGTGGGGGGCTTGAGCAAGAGCTGAACTGTAGCCTCTCCCTCTATGGCAAAAGAAATAATCAAAGCAGGCAAAGTAGAGTCTTCAAAGTGGAGTCTTAGAGAGAGATTTGCACGCCCATGTTCATAGCAGTGTCAGTAAGAATAGCCAAAAGGTGCCCATCACCAGAGTTCAAAGTACTGCCCAACAGGCCAACCAAGAGACTAAATTGTGAGATTACATAGACTGTATTTCCAATAAAAAACAAGGTTCCCAGGCAGCAGTCAATAGAGAGGGTTAGCTCCAGGACAGCTGTTTTAATTCAACAGTGTTCCATGACCACTTAGCACGTGTAGGACATAGTTCATCTCCAAGGACTGACTGCTGAGACCAGGTCAGGAAGAGCTCTTGGGACAGCCCTCCTCTCCCTCAACAACTGTGAGGCAGAATGATGGAGGATGCTTGGCACAGAGTTAGCGCCTCTCTTCTCCTACCCCACCCCCTTTTGATACCAGCAGGAGGTGGTATTGGCCTCATACTGTCCTGAATCCCTGACAATATTGGCCTCATACTGTCCTGAATCCCAGAATCTGTGGATGCCAGAAATGCCAGGTGTTGATGGGAGCGTTATCACCTGGAGTCCCTCAGGTCTGCTGCTGTGGACGGCATTTCTGTGCTGATGCCTGCACAAGATTAGGAAGATCTGGTGGTTGTTTTCTTCATCTTCCATGCATTTGAGGAGCTACTGATTAACTCACTGCTCTGTGACCTCACTAGTGAGTGGCAAAGCACTGCCTTCCCTGCTCATCAGCCCTGCATGCTCCCGAGACGCAGCTCACAATTGTCTGCATGTTTGCAACCCCCTAGATTTCTGGTTCGTGTGATACCTAGTTCTAGTTCACATTCTGTTCCTATTTACAGAAGCATATGATACTGCTTAAAAGCTATTCAAGATGAAATAGTAGTATATTGTTTTAGTTAAAGCCGCAAGTATTCTATCGCTGATTGATCTATGTCTGTCTGACAATCATCTGTCATGTTTGGGTTTAAACACACATGTGAACACATGCATAAGCAGACGCAGACACGGACACACACACACAGAGGCCCACGTATATGATAATCTTTTAGCATGGGGACAATTCTAGAAGGACTTAAAGTCATTGCTTACTGTACAAAGGTATCAAAAGACTGTATGCTTCCTCAGGACCTTTGTCTTTCTCATGTACACACAATATGAAACTGGTATAAATCTCAAGTATAAGAAATTCAGTGCTCCTACCAACCATGAACACTATTTAAGAAGCATTTGTGGAATTATTGCTACTGATTTCATGATTTCACTTTAGGGGTGGGGAGTGAGTGATGAGGGTGACGGTGAGAGAGAGAGAGAGTCAAGGCACTTTATGGAGCAGCTGGGAGCCAGCCCTATGTATGGTGTGGCCATCCGTGCTTCAGGAATTTGACAGAATCATGCCTTGGTGAATGCATGCCTCTGTCCTCTCTGTGGAGTGTCCTGGGCTGGCCAATTCAAGGTATGGGGTGGTTGCATTGCCCTGTGGGTCAAAGCCGCACTGGTCAGGGAGCCCCCTGCCTGGCTGTGGAGCGGCCATTGTCAGGGATGCCGTGGCAGTGTGGGGTGGGACCGGCAGGGCCTCAGGACCAGCTCACAGGCTCTCTCTGCTGCCCAGAGATGGAGCTCCAAGTGCTCTTTGTTCAGGCTTATCCAGAGGAGAGGGATGGTCTTCCAGGGGTTAGTTTAGAATGAGCTGTAAGCGCCAGAGCAGAAGGCTTAGGAAAAAGCCTTTTTAAAAACCCACAGAAGTTTCCCAGGGTGGGACTGGTGTGAGATAGCCCACGCAGCCTGGATTGGGGGCTGAGCTCTCTCCATGCTGTGCTGTGTGGCTTTGGGGAACCAGCTGGCAATCCTGGCCTTGTTTCTTCTCTGGGGTGGAGGGTGGGTGAGGAGGCTCGTGGTGCCCTGGATTTCAGGGGTCCCACTCAGCCTGGGTACCCTCGTCTTCTCTCCTCCCTGGGGAGGGAACCTCCTTGTGTTGATTGAAGTTTCTCTCTGCTCCCCCACCCACCATGATTCTCAGGAGTGTGCCTCCCACAGCTGTCCAGCACTCAGACTGGAGAGTCAGAGGGTGAGGGTTCGAATCCCAGCTCAGAAGCAATGTGTCTGTCTGAGAGGGCAGCAGTGAGGACACAGGAAGCTGGAACCATCCTCACAGCTTGGCAAGTAGAAGGCTCCCATGAGGAGGGGCTCCAAGAGCCCCATGGAGTGGGTGCAGGGCAGTGGCTGTGAGGGACAGACACCCTGGATGTTTGCCTCTGCTGTATTCAAATTGGGTAACAATGGACCTGCTATTCTGGGAGGGGCTGAGGGTGGTCCCTTGGATCCCGGTGGCCTGAGCCCACTTGGAAGGCAGACACCTCCTTGGCTGGACATCTGGACTATGGACAGAGATCCGAGTGAAGATGACAGTAAGTAGAACTGTGGAGACCGCCTGGGGGCCGCCTCGGTGGCCAGTGCTGTGCGGACACTTCCATCCACCCTGACCGTGATCCTGGGTTTGGGTCCCTTCCTTCCTTCCTCTCACAGAGAAAGCCGTTTGCAGCCTGCAGCCTTTTTCCCCCAGTAAGTGCCTCTGGACAATGGATGAGGAAGGCAGAAATCAGATGAGAACTAGCTTCGCTCCCACTGTGACATCGTCCTGGCCTTTTATTCTTTTCCTTTTTTGCTGGCTGACATTGCTCCCATGTGCTCAAATGTCAGCATGAACAGCAGGGCTCTCATTTCAGTTGAAGTTGGGTTGGTTCAGCTCCCAGACAAGATTAACTGTGCAGAAAGGTCCTGCGTGGTCTTTACCTGGTGCTCCTTCTTTAGCGAACAGCCAGCTCCTTCATTGCCGATCAGGGAAGGTAGCCTGGGGGACCCCTCCTGACGCTATTAGGACAGAAAGACAATGGAAACTCAAGACTGTTTAAAAATGTGAAGAAGGAAATGGCATTTTAGAAACAAACGTGCTAAGTTTATACCAAGGAAGTTTTCGATGCTGAATTTGAAATGGGCAATACAGTGGGGTGGAAAGTGCGTTAGATCAGGAGTTGGGAGGCCGGCCGGGGTTCAAGTGCTGACTCTGCTCAGAATTGGCTGCGTCACTTAAACTCTCTGAGCCTCAATCTTCCCATCTACAAAAGGAAATTGGATCGAGAGTTCTTAATTTGGGGATCCTGAGGGTGTGGACAAAATGTCACGCCGATGTGCTTTTTGCGGGTCGTGGAGAGGGGTCTGTAGCTTTCATCTGAACACCAGAGAGGCTGGTGACACTAGGGCACCTTCACAGTCACTGGACTTGGTGACCTAGAAGGTTCTTTGTAGGTGCAACACCCTTCCATTGTCTTTAATGTTGGTGTTTTAAAGCTTTACATTTTAGAACTCGAGTAGATACAGTGCTCGATTTAAATGTTGTTGGAATCCTTTCCCACTTGAAGTGGAAGATCATTTAATGGTCTTCTACTGGAGACCACCAAAAGGGGATGTTTGAGTATGTATCTGAGGGAGACCTCATCTGACTTCTAATTTACTGGAAATTTTGTATCCATAGTTGTGTTCTAAAAATCTTCTGCTAACACGCTACTGCAATCTTTTCAAAACATGGCTCATTAACAGCCTTTTAATACGTGATTGGGGTTCCTCTTAGTCTCAATGGACTGCATCAGATCTGGATTCAAATCCAAGCTCAGCCTCCTAAGGGCTGGGTGACTTTGATCAAGTCATTTAACCTCTCGGAGCTTCTTATAAAAAAAAAGGCTGGTGTCATCTTTTAGGACTGGTCAAGGACTGATTGGATATAAAGTGCCAAATACATTTCCCAGCCCAGAGTAGGCATGGAGTAAATATTGGCTCCAGGAAATGATCAGACTACGTCCCTGGGGTTTTAAAACTAAACTGCTATTCATGGAAAATATCTCCTGTGGGGTTTCTGTTTTGGCCTCATGCCTTTTGGTAAACAGGTGAGCAAGCCAGGGGACTCAGGTTAGTCCCTGCACAGGTCTAAAAGCCCTGATTGTGTTGTAGGGTCTCACTGCATGCTGGTTTCAGATATGATGGAACTCAGATCAGCACTAGGGGGTACTGCAAGGTACCGGGACAGGAAAGTTTTTGGAAACTAAGCTGATGAAATCTGAGTGTAGTAGATTTCCTCCCATCCTAAGTGTCAGAAAGGATGCCTGCTATAGGACTTATCTAATTTAAATGTGCCTTTTTAGGGGAGTGACAGTTTTCTGTTTCTAGGGTGGAGCCCAGCCACCGGGAGTCCAGACTTCCCTGGGAGGTCAGCCCTGACCCCATGGAGCCATCCAGTCTTTTTCGCACACCACCCCATTTCTGGGAGGGGACAGTGGGTCTTTTAGAGTCTAGTGGAAAGATGCAGCTTCTACTTTGGGGAGCATGTAAGGAATGAAAAGCCCTAATGAAGTTGGGGCTCAGGTAGGATTCCAGGGGCTCCCCTGAATCGGTTTCCAGAGCCCTCTCTTGTCCATTGTCCCCTTTGCTCATCTCAGTGGCCATGCTCCTGGAGCCTTATTTTCTGGGAAAGGAAATCAAGGCCCTAGAAGGCTGGGCTCATGGTTGGGAATATGAAGATAAATAAAATATTGACTTATTTCAAGTGCTGTACGTCTGGTGGGAGAAGCAGACCCCACATGGGATTTTTGCAAATAATTCTTATAAAGCCATTTGTCCAAAGCAATGTGAGAGAGAGTGCATAAGATTACTAAGGGGCACGGGGCTGGGGGCCACAGCCAGGCAGTGTGAAAGTGATGAGGTCTGGGCTGAGAAAGGCTGGGATTGTCCACAGGGGTGTCCAGGGCTGGAATAGTCCGAGCAAGGTCTGGGGGAGATGGCAGCAGGTGGGTGTGAGGTGAACACAAACATCAGTGTCACGGAGTCACGAGGCACCTCTGGAAAGGCAGCGATGGCTCTTAGAAAACCCGGCCCCGGTGACCCTGGCTGGAGATGATGGCTCTTTCTACAAAGCATGAATTTCACACTCCAAATAATTGAGAAGCAATTACAGATAAGCATCCCACATTGAAAACAAAAACTGCAGTGTTCGCTGCATCCTCTCTTGACGTAGCAGGGAGCCTACAGGGTTTGCAGTAAAACTCCTCCAGCTCTTCTGGCCTTATTTCTCTTGATATTGGTCTCACCACACGGTGGGCATTTGCTCCCCTAAATATTTCCTCAGTGGCTCCCACCTCTAAGCACTCATATTTCTCCCTTCAGGCCCAACCAGGCTTATCTCTCACCTCCCCCCTTTCTGCTCTACGCCTTGATTATCTCACCACCCCTCCCAAAGTTAGCCGTCCTCCCTTCTCTCACCTGGGTCTGGCTTTTCTCTGGCATGTGGGCAGATTCCTGTCCCATGGGTCAGGGCCAGGTAATGCAGGTGTATCTGCCGAGTGCAGGAGTTTGGGTTTGGCTGTGAGTAATCAGGAGCCACTGCAGGGTTTAGGTAAAGGGGTGGTATGGTCGGGTTTCCTGTTCCTGTGAGGAAGAACTTTAAGTCTTGCAGCCAATTATACGCTTGTTTGTTCTTTTTGGCAAAACAGAACTTTTTTCTTTATCTTACAATTTCCTGAATCTAACTCTGTCTCTAAAATGATTTTCATTTGCGATAAAATACACATAGCACAGAATTTACCATCTTAGCCATTTTAAGCGTACAGTTCAGAGGCAGACTGTTGTACAACCATCTCCACCATCTATGTCCAGAACTCCTTTCACCTTGCAAAACCGAAACTCTGTACCCATTAAGCTACAATTCCCTCTCCTCTTCCCTCCCAGTCCCGGCGTCTGTGGACTTGACCACGTGAATCTCACTCCCACAGCCTAAAGTACAATTCAAATCATGAGGCATTTATGCATATTGACTGTATGCCCACCCTAGGAGGTGTTTTATGCACCTAACATCTATAAGTGCCTACTGTTTGCCCACTCTTTGTAAGGGCACACAAGAGTGAGGGGCCACTGTCCAAAACAGGTTCTCACGCCTGTTGAAGGAGACAAGATGTGAAACAAATTAAAGTAAGGAGGTGGTGGGAGCCTCTTGAGCAGCGTCAGCACTCCTAAGAGGGTTATCTGGAATCGGACCAAAGGGCACAGATGCCTTTTATCATCTGAAGTCAAAGGAATGAAATTTTAAAAGGAGGTATTCACTAATGATGCCTTTCTCTGTAAGGACAATTGCTTTAGATACAAAGGAAAAATAGCTTGTGGCTGGTGAGCCGAAACACTGCCTTTGTGACTCTTTGCAAAGTTTTCTCAGCCACCACTTGGTGCTGCTTGTATGGAGCCCTGGGGTGTTCAGGTAAGCAGAAAGGTCACTGGCTTGGAGTCAGGTGTCGGATCTAAGTTTAATACTATTGCAGTCTGTGCTATGAGTGCCTGAGCTAGTTGCCCAAAATCACATGTTCAAGCCTCCTCATTTTGTTCTTCTCTGAAATGAGGAAAGCTGGTTATCGTGAAGTGCAAAAGAAATCATGCCCACCGCATCCCTCTGGGAGCCACAGGGCAGGATGTGTGTATCAGGGTGGGGCAGCCCAGCTGGACAACTGCCCTGAAACTCAGCCCCGATACCATGGGAACAGTGACGCGGCTAGTGGCCCCTTCTGAGTGCCCCACATGGGGTGTCACACAATGCACAGTGACGTCCACACTCCCTGTTGTGCCCATGGAGACCTGCACAGGAAATGACGCACGCTCCTGTAGGTCAGCCTGGAGTGCTTTATTTTTATGCATAACATAATGGTGAGATTAATTTAGCTCTGATGAACTGTGACTACCCCAAGAGGTCAGGGTGGCTGCTGGTGATGGATGGAGTCTGAGTTTCCCACCTCTCATTCTTCCCTCTTCCTGCCCCTTTTGTTTGATTTCCAGCAGGACACTGCAGCCACATGCCACTTCCCTGTCTTCCTGTTGTCGAGGGGCAGATGGATAACCCCAGTAGACCCACGACTCCTGGGTGGGCAGGAACCCTCCCAGGGGGCAGGGCTGTGATGGTCCTTTCTGTGCTTGACACTTTCACTATTGTCTTCTGGTTTAAAGGAACATAAAGAAAGAGGAAGACCCCTGGGACTGGCGGAGGATTTATTACAGGCCAAGCATGAGACTAAGGACTGTGCACACATCATCTCACTGGGTGCTCCCTAATATCATCTGCTCCATTTCACAGATGGGGAAGTTGAGTCCCACAGGGTCACATCTTACATGGCAGAGAGCCCGGGCCTGAAGTGGCACATCAGAGCCCACCTTCCTAACCCCTCTGCCTCTGAGATCTGACTCTGGTTGCAATGTGACAGAACCATTTGCTCATAAGGGCTGGTTTTCCTGCTTAGAAAGGCACTCTTCACATCTATGAAACTTCTCTTCGCCTCCCTTTTAGGTTTTCTGCAGGGAGAAAAAACCCTTAGGGGTGTAGATCATATTTCTTAGTGTTAGAGGACAAGGATGTTCTTAATTTGTGGGGGCCGGTGGTGAGGTGTTGTTCATTTATCTTAATGAAGCCCCCTCCTCCCTCCACTGTTCTTGGCCATGTATTTCAGGGCAAGAGCTCAGCTCTGACATTGGTCTTTAATTCTCATAACCGACTCACAAGAACTGCCAGGGACATGCATGGGACCTGGCCCCAGTAAGGCTCAGATCTCAGCCTCCACCCTTCTGATCCTCCCTCAAACCCATCCCCACAGGTGAATGTCTAAGTAACCCCCAAATCTGCTCCACTGCCTGTTTTCAGTGGCCAAGTCTGACCCACTGCCTGTTTTCATAAATAAGGTCGTATTGGAACAGAGCCACGCTCTCTCAATTGTGTATTGTTTCTGGCTGTTTTCATGATACAGCAGTTAACTTGAGTAACTGAGACAGACAGTGCATGGACTACAGTGTATAAATATTAACTACCTGGCTTTTTACACAAAACGATTGCCAACCTCTTGCTGGGTCCCTGGTGACTGAAATAGCTTTGACGCTAAAACTCATAAAAGCAAAACTGTCAAGAACTAAGGAACTAATAGTAATTCCAGATGAATCATCATACTGGGAGTTTCAACACAGGCATCTTGTTGAAGCTTTGGGTGTGGTCCCTTTGCCTCACAGAGACACCTACCCCAGGTCACTCGCCTGTTTCCTGATAGGACAGTTTGCTCACAGATGTGGGCATTTCTACTTAGAAAGGCACTTTCCACATCTAAGAAACTTCTGTAAGCCTTCCTTCGTAGGTTTTCTGCAAGGAGAAAAAACCCTATTTGGTATTACCAGAGCACAAGGACATTCTTAATTTGGGTGGGCGGAGAGGGAGTGTTCATTTGTGCTAATGACAGTCCTTTCTCTTCCACCATTCTCACCCACTTATTTTGGGATTTCTGCCTTCCTCAGCCCCCCAACACCCCCATTCCTGATCAGCATGCATTGCAGTCATTTCTAGAATATGCTATTCTTATTTTTGTGGAGGTAAAAAGACGAGAAAGGCTTTAAAGCATTACTGCCCCTAAAAGTGGTGCAAGTCATGGGGTGGATGGACCAGAGGTAGTGTTGGTGACTGAGGCAAAAAGGCTCCCCTTCCAAAGAGCATTTCACAGCCACCATTTAAAGTCACTTCCTGGGACTGACAGTCACTAGACAGAGCCAAGGGCTTCTTCTCCCCCAGCTTGAGGCCCAGTGGGTCTCTGTTCTGCTCTAACTGACGGCTGTGTGACCGAGGAACACTGGAGTGACTTCTCTGTGTCTCATATCAAGTCGGGTGGGAAGTTCCGCCTTCCCCACCTCCTGGTGGGAGAGTGGCCAAGGCGACAGGTGTGGGGAGGTGCTACTGGAGCTAGTTCTTACATCAAGCTTTCCTCCTTGGGGCTCAGGGCCATCTCTGTCTATGTGACACCTGACAGGCAGCGTGAGCTTTTAAAAACAGTTTGTAGAGTGAATGATTCTTTTTATAGAGTTATGTCTCATGAAAAGTACAGGTGGTCCCTGACTTATGATGGGGGGCGGGTAGTTACTTCCCGAAAAACTAATCGCAAGTTGAAAATCTCATGTGTTGAAAGTGCATTTAATACACCTGACCCACAGGTCAGCGCAGCCGAGTCTCGCCTGCCTCACACGTGCTCAGAACACGCTCATTAGCCTCCAGTCAGGCAAAATCATCCGGCGACACAGCACAGGGGGAACATCAGTTAGGTCTTTACCTTCTTGATCCCGTAGCTATTGGGAGCCTTGGAAAATCAAAAATTCAGATTTCGAAGTTCAGTTTCTACTGAACACATACTGCTTTCCTACCGCTGCAAAGGTGCAAAATCCTAGTCGAACCATCATAAGCAGGGGACTGTCTGTACTTGGAAAAAGCATCGTTTTGGAGTCAGACAAGCCTTAGTTTGGATCCAGCCCCACCCAGCCCTTTCTGGCTGCATGATCTTGGGTGAGTTACGACCTCCTTGAGCCTCAGTTTCCTCATTGTGGTGTGTCATTTTGGGTCATCGATGGCGTTCTGTGTTCCATCGATGCCAGCTTGAGACTGGCTTAAGCTGTAGGGCTCTTTTTACGCACCACCCTAGCTTGTCAGTGTCCCTGTCTTTCTGCAGGTGTGGCAGAGCTCAGCTTTGAGGCTGAGAGTCCTCTGGCGCCCCCTACGGAGCTCCTGGAAAGACTGCCCAGCTACAACTGGCTTCTTCAAGGGGACAGTAAGTCCAGGGGTCATGGTTCCTGGGGCCTCTGCCTGGGGCTCACGCCAGTTGGTGGAGATGTCTCTGGAAAAGGCCAGTGCGGAGATAGCCCGCCTTTCCCTTGGGAGTCTGGGGGAGCTCCTTATCATGGGTTAGGGGAAGGGGAAGAGGTAGGGCAGAGGCCCTCTGCCCATGGACATTCCGTGGCCATGACCATGTCCATCTAGGACCTGAATGATGCCTGTCTCAGAATCCACATCTTCCTGAATTCTATACACTAACGTCATTCTTCTTTCTCACATTCAATCAATCCTTCCTTCTCTCCCCTACAAGCATTTGCTCCTTTGAGCTGGGGGGTCGAGCCCCTGACTCCTCCCTTCTCCTCCAGGTCAGCAGATATTCTTCCAACCTCTGGAGGCCCCAGCGAGGCCCCAGGAGCAAAGGTTGTGGTCCTCATTCCTGGAGCACAGGTGAGCTTCAGGCTGGGCTTGCGTACGTGTCCCTGTGTATTCCTACGTGTCACTATTCCCACACAAGAGCCTTCCTTGGGATCTCAATCCTGGCAGTGCACCAGGAGGGTCCATTGATGGGGGACCCTTTTCCTCCCAGACCCCCTGAACTAGATTCTCCAGGGATGAGACCAGGAAACCCCATTTAGCCAAGCTCTTCAGGTTGTTGGGCTATAAAGCCAGGATTGAATGCCATGGTCTATGTCAGGGTTTGCAAAGTCTAGCTGAGAGAAAAGTGTGAATGAGTCAGGATTAACGGCTCTTGGGGCTGCCCTGGGGAGACACATGGAGAGGCCAGGAAGAGAGGACACCTCCTTACTGGAGGTGCTGGGGTGGAGGGGCTTCACCAAGGAGGTATCGTGGCCTCAGGGAAGAGGTGTGTCACAGGAGGAGGAGGGCGAGGGTTTCCAGAGAGAGGGCCAAGGCCAGGCCGCTGTCTGCCATCCTACCCACTGCCCACAGGTAAGTCTCTGGGTGGGGCCTTCTCAGGTAGCTCATAGCTCGTCTGTTCAAGGCCACATCCTCTGAGGACATCTAGCCTATCTCTGCCTCCTTTTAACTACGGACATCATTTCTGGACCTCAGTTCTCTCTTCCTCTGCAAAATGGTGTCATTCATCTTTAAGTTTTGTGGGTTTTTTCCTGAGTTTCGACATTCTCTCAGCTCTACTCCTCAGCTCCACACTTCAGCTAACATAGTTTTGCTGTTCTCTGGAAAGACCTGCCACTCTTTCCCCAGGGGCACCTGGCCATGTAGTTCCCTCTGCCAGAGACGCCCCTCTGGTTGGACTGTGGGGGCGCTACTGTGGCCTCTGCTTCCCTCCTGAAGGCAGGCTGGCTGGTCCTTCCCAGAACCCCCATCTCCCCGCTCTATCCCAGCAGAATCCCGGTGGTGACGGAGGAGGTGGCCCGGGAAGCTCTCCTCAGCTTCGTGAGCTCTAAATGCTGCTATGGCAGCGCAGTGGCCAGCGGCCTGGTCATCCGGGAGCTGAGGCAGCAGACCCTCTGCCGGGTAAGGGCCTGGGGACTGTGCGACGGGGCTGGGAGGGGTCCTGGGGCCGCGTGTGTGGACGGTGCTGGTGCTGGATTCAGTCTGCACCTCCTCTGGTCCTGGCGATGAGTAAGGACAAGAAGAACAAACACCGTCCATCACCACAGACAAGTTCCAATGCGCTGGACGTGGAGCAGATACATAACACGCCCGGGGCCAGCGCTCACGGCTTGTCCTCATAGTTTACAGAGGAGGAACTGGAAGTCTGGAGAGGCAGAGTTACGTGCTCAGGGCCGGGGCAGAGCTGGGATCCAAACCCCAAACCCGTGTGCTCGGGCCGCGCCGCCCCGAGGGACTGGCTGGGCAAGGGCCGCCTCCTCCCTCAGTCCCAGCTCCCGCCCCTCCTCCAGCACCTCTGTGCCAAGGAATCATTTATTCACCATTCTAGGGAAGCCCCTGCTCTGGCACCCGGGTCACAGTAGGCTTTTTCCTCCTTCGGCTCTGACAGGGCAGCAGGCGGCTTTTCTGCTCACTTTTTCTAGTGTTGCTGACATGGTTGTCCTCTGATGAGTGCACAGTCACACAGAAATCATCTCAGGTCACGGTTAGAGCAGGGGTCTGGAGGAAGAGGCCGCTGCATGGCTGTGTGACCTCGGGCAAGCCAGTGACCTCTCTGAGCCTCCATTTCCTCACTGTAAGAGGAGGAGCTGAGTGGTCTGCAAGCTCGCTTCCCACAGTGCGGCTCTGTGAATGGGGGTCAAGAAGAGGACCTCTGGGCTTCCATCAGGTCAAGGGCAGCCACCGCTCCACAACTTTCCTCGTAGACTGTTTCCATGTGTTAATTCATGGGGAACCGACGTCGGTTTGTTGTGAGACTGTCAGGGGAGAGTTCCTGGGGCTGGCTGACGTACCTGTCACTATCTCAGGATACCTGGAACAGAAGTCGCTGTTGCCAGCCTGTTCCAAGGAGCTGAGAGTGCTGTGTGTGGGACCACCCTGTTCGCACCCACCCCCTGAGCCCTGACAGCGTGGCCTCCATCTCTTGGCACAGTGCCGCTGTAATAAAGGGTGTGAGTGTGACCATGCTGGGTTTTCTCTCTTTAGTATCGACTAGAGACCTTCAGCGAATCCAGGATAACCGAGTGGACGTTTCAACCCTTTACTAGTGAGTTGTCTGAAATCAGTTTAACCAGGGGCAAATAAGGCAGGGCATTGGTGGGAAATTCCAGAACTTGGTGGAGCCTCAGTTTCCCCATCTCCTGTGAAATGAGAGGGTGGACTTTCCGTTCAGAGATTTCCCAGGGCTGATCTCAATAAGTGCTTTCTGCCCGAGAAGTGGTGTGCAGGAGGTCCCAACAGAGCCTAGCATTTACCGGTGGCTGCTGGCTGGTGCTGCCACCCAGGGCAAGAGACCAATGCAGGATATTTGCTTGGACAGCTGGCTGCCCCCTTCGCCCACAGTGCCATCCCCATTATCTCAAGTCTCTAGACCCTCAGTCTTAGTCTCCTCACCATCCCCCTTCTACCGAACCCCACCAGAGGCCCAAGTCTCTCTGCGAAGCCCTGTGTCCTCCCTCTTTTCTCTACGGAACCACTCTGGTTCTTTCTGCCAAGTTCATGTGTCGCCTCTTTTATGAAGCTTTTTAGCGTTTCTCCTCCAGCTGCCTCTCTTCCCAGCAGGATGTGGCTGTCTTCCGAGCTCTCAGAGCCTTTATGCAACTCCTGTCCTAAGCCCTTGTCGTATGCTAGCCCAGCTTACCTGGACTGTATGCTGTGCCTGCATCCTGGCACAGATGAGGAGAAAGAGAATGCAGATGAGGGGATGGTGATGATAACGATGGTGGTTCTTGTGTATCGATGCCTCAGTGTGCACCACCCATGTGCTAAGCATTTTATATGCATTCTTCTGTTTAATTCTCACCACCGTCCTAGAGAATAGGTGCCACTTTTAGAGATGAAGGAACTGAAGCTCAGAGAGGTGAAGTCAGTGGTCCCCGACCATTTTGGCACCAGGGACTGGTTTCATGGAAGGCAGTTTTTCCACATACAGGGACCAGGGGGGAGTCATTGGACTCTCATAAGGAGCACACAAGCTAGATCCATCACACGCACAGTTGGCAGCAGGGTTCGTGCTCCCACGAGAACCTAATGCCGCCACTAATGTGATAGGAAGTGGAGCTCAGGCAGTGCTGTGAGGGACGGGGAGCGGCTGTAAATACAGATGAAGCTTTGCTCTTTCACCCACTGCTCACCTCTTGCTGTGTGGCCCAGTTCCTAACAGGCCATGGACCAGTACTGGTCCCTGGCCCAGGGGTTGGGGACTGCAGGGTTAAGTAACTCATCTGGAGTCACAGGTAGGAAGGAGAAGAGCTGGGAGGAAAGCCCAGGTCTGTCCAACTCTAAAGTTTGGGAGCTTAGTCACTGACTCAAAAGGGACTCTGGTCTACCTCTCCTTACAGCCCCAGGACCTGAACTCATGCCGGGCCCCTAGGGTGGGCTTGGTGCTGTTTGCTGAATAAATGAGAGTTTATCCTGTTGTACTTCATCCTGTTTATGATCATCTCTTTCTGTGTCAGATCACTCAGTGGATGGGCCACAAAGAGGTGCCTTCCCCAGCCTCTGGGACATCAAGGTCCAGGTTCCCCCAATGTTTCAGGAAGACACCAGAAAGTTCCAAGTCCCTCACTCATCATTGGTCAAGGTAACAGGATTACTGGGATATTTGCCCTTCCCTCTGAGCCGGTGTTCCAGGCACTTGGCACTTCCTCAAACTTGACCCTTTTAAGAAAGGAAGCTCAAAATCCAGGCTGGGGGTTCATTTCTTGGGTATAAATTAACATAATTTAAGAAAACCCAATGTGTAGAATGGAATCCCCTACGAAACTCTGAGCAACTTAGGGAGTATTCACACAGCAAAAGGATTTTCCTATTTACAATATTGTCACTGACTGTGAAGGGACAAGTCACCTTCATAGACCACCTGAGTGAGCTTCTCATCTTTCTTTCTTTTTCGCCTGACAGTAAAAAAAAAAAAAAGTGTTGAATGAACTTGATATGAAGTAGTTAAGACACTGATTGGGCTCTGCCGTGGAAGTCCCCAGGGAAGCAGAATTTGACTTCCATCCTGAAATACAATCCTGGCATGGAGTGAGGGAGACCCAGGGGATCACACACGTGGACTGAGACATCTCATGCCCTGTCCTCATCTAGTAACTGCCCTCTTCTCACTTTAGGACGTAGAGATGTAATCTTACTGTGTGAGTTTTCATAGCCTTATAAGATGAAGAGGACTTTGAGAAGTTATCCTGTTTTTTTCTCAAGAGTGGTAAAGCTTTTTCCATTCAGTGGTTAAATTGTAGTCGCTGGCCCATTATCTCCCATGACAATGCTGTGCATTTTTTAATGACTTCTGTTCCTGAAGGCCACATTAGCCACCTCATGGGCATAGGTGAGCCTGGCGGGAGACTGCGGAGTGTGAGTTAGGATGTGGGGCTCCGAGGACACATCTCCTCTGCTTGGCATCCAGATGGATTGGATATGGGGAGCATGACCTTAGCTTGGCATTCCAGCCCTTGGGAATCCCAGTCTAATGGGAAGGCCTTTCCCAGCCTGGTCTGAAATGCTGCATCTCCATTTGAGATGTGCATTGTGACATTGTGCGTGTGGGAGAGGTGGCACTTGGGAAACTGGATCTAAGGGGAGCATTTCACTTTCAGGAATGCCACAAATGCCACGGGCGTGGGAGGTACAAGTGCAGCGGCTGTCATGGGGCCGGCATGGTGAGTCCCGTGTGGGCCAGTGGTGAGCAGGTGAGCGTGTAGGAGGGAGTCGGGGTGGAGAGCTGGGCTGGGGTCCTGGGGCTTCCTACACTAACAGTGTCTCCTTGAGCAAATCACACTTCCTTTCTGGACTTCCATTTTCTGATCTGTGAAATGGGAAATTTGGATTGGGTGGGTGGTCTCTAAGGATACTTTTACCTTGATGATTTGATTTTAATATTTTTCTCCTTTCTTCATCCATCAGCCAACATATACTGAGCACTGACTTGGTGCTGGTCTCTGTAAAAGGACTAAGATCTTGGATCCTTCTCATCAGGGATGCCTTGTCTATGGGGGAAACCAACAAGTAACCCCCTTTGTAGTGCAGGGCGATGGGTTCTGAGAAGATGAAGTTTGGGAGGCTTTGAGAGACAAGATAGACTGGGGCCTTGGTAGTTGCCTAGGGGAGCCCCAAATCAAGCCGCTAGCAGAGTTAGCTCTTCTGGGGGGCTCTGAGAAAGAAGCCATCTCATGCCTCTCCTGACCCCTGGCAGCTGCCGCCACTCCTTGTCATTCCCTGGCTTGTGGCTGTGTCACTTCAATCTCTGCCTCTGTTGTCAGGGGGACTTCTTACAAGGACACTAGTCATTGGATGTAGGGCCCACCCTAGCCCACATGAGGTCATCACCTTACTAATTATATATGTCTTCAAAGACTCTGTCCAAATGAGCTCACATTCTGGTGTTCCAATGGACTAGAACTTGGGGTGGACACTATTTAATCCAGTATAGCGCCCTCAGCAGATAGCCAGGCTTTTGTGGCATTAGTTGTCTTTTTAAAACTTTTCTCAAGGCATTTTGGGGTTACTAACAGTCCCAAGGAGTAAGAAAAAACTCCTCATGTGTTCTCTGTCCATGATTTGAGCCTAATCCTTTGGACACACACTGGCCACTTGAAACTGTGTCTTCACCCATCCTCCTCCCCACCACCGGCCCTTCTACCTTACATCTTGTCCCCTGCCCCCTCCTGCATCCTCCCTGGGCCCCAGTGGGCCATAGGCCAGCTTCTCTCTCTCCTCCTGGGTCCTTGCTCCTGCCACCTGCCTCCTGTGACTTTCCCGGGGCCCCTCCCTACAGCCTTCCCTGGTCCTTCCTCCACTTCTGCTGCCCCCCACTCCCTCCCTCTTCCCCAAGGCTTTCCCTGGAATGTCTCTGGAGCCCACCTGGGCCAACTGTGGGAGCATAGCCTGGGGTACTTCCTCACCCAGCTTGGCTGGGGTCAGGTCTCAGGTCTCATGGTGAGGGATTAGAGAGGAGGCAGGAGCAGCTCATGGCTGGTCCTAGGATGTAGAATCTTTGAATGCTAAAACTGGAAGGGTCCAAAGACACCCCCACATCCAACCTTCCCATTTTACAGATGAAGGGGTTGGGGTTTAGGGGTAGGAGCACCTTGTGCCCAGATCACCAGGCTGGGATTTGAACCAGGTGTCAGGATGCCCTTGGCCTTGTTCCCTGCAAGGCCAGTGAGGGTTGAAGCTGTCATGTGTCTGCAGGCCAGGTGCCCATCCTGCAGCGGAGCCAAGCGCAAAGCCAAGCAGTCCCGGAGGTGTCAGCTGTGCTCCGGCTCTGGCAGGCGAAGGTAGGGAGGGTCTCCCCCGCAAGGCAGTGAGGGGCTCTTGCTTACGGGCTTTCTGATGTTCCATTGTCTACCCATCTGGAAGTCAAGCAGACAGGCACCCACCTGTCTGTCACTGCTGTGTCCTAGAGCTCTGTCATAGTGGTGGTCTGGGACTATTTTAGAATGGGTGGCCTTTTCTCATTGAACAATAGTTGGGTTGGGTGTGAGGACAGCTGTGCTGCAGGCAGAGAGGTGGTGGGATGAGTTAGCAGGAAAGGAGATTTTTTTTCCTGCCTACATGGGGAGAAGTGAATATAGAAAACCACCTAATGGTGAGATTTTTGAGGATCAGGTCCTTGGCAAACTCTCATTTATAACTGATAGCAGGGCATGAATGGAGGAAGAATGAAGGAAAGTTGGTTGATTGACTAAAGAATCAACAAAGTTCCGTGTTTGCTCACAGCGCTTTGCAAATGCAGCTGACCACTGCATTTTGTAAATTGCATACTTTACCATACTTATGAATCTTTGAGGAAAACACAAAACCATAAGGAGTCAAGATTTTCAAAGTTGGATTGGTTAATAATGCTTTTGCCTCATCATTAACCAATCCAACTTTGAAAATCAGCTCTTGCCAAGCCAGCCTTCTGATAAGCCAGATGGAGAAGCTTTGGTATACCAACTGTGGTTGGTAAAGAAGGCCTTTGACTTGGAAAGAAACTCATTTTTCCTTCATTTGCAAGTGAAAAGAATCCAATCCAAACTGGTTTTGGCAAAAAAGCAAATGTACAGGCCCAGGTAACAGTAAAGTTCAGGGGTACATTTCTGGGAGGGCTTCAGGCCCAGTTGGATCCAGGTGCCTAAACAATGTCACTAGGAATCTGTCTCCCCTTCTCACTCTGCTTTCTTTTGTTACTTTACTCTCAGGTGGATGGTCCCCTATAGTAGCAAGAGGGACCACCTGTAGCTCCAGGCTCAGGAACCCCAGGAGAAAAGGATGTCCCTTTCCTCATAGTTCCAACAAACATCCTGGGGTGGATGTCACTGCACTCACCTGGGTCATGTGCCCATCTTTTGTAGCCAGGGAGATGGAATCAGATGATTGGCCAGGCCAAGATCTCAAACTTGTCACAGAAAAGGTGGGGGCAAGCTCAAGCACCATCTGGGCTGGACATGGGAAGAGTGGTCCTAAAAGGGATACTGAAGCACTGCCACCAGAAAAGGGAGGACTAGATGGTGGGTGGGAAGAACAATCCAGGCCCACCACAGACTACTCCATGAGGAAGGATTTGGGGGCGGGGCCTCTGGACGCCACTGAGCCCCTGGGACTGAGCTGCAGGAACGGACTGTGTCCTTCTCAGGTGCAACACATGCTCAGGGAGGGGGAACAAGACCTGTGCCACCTGCAAGGGGGAGAAGAAACTGCTGCACTTCATCCAGCTGGTCATCGCGTGGTAGGTGGGAGCATCTCAATGCCATGGCCCATGGGGAGTGGCAGAGCACGTGGCCTGGGCTGATTTCTGCAGAGAAACTCTACGTGGTTGGGGCTTTCATGAGGGCAGGGAGCTGCCATCTCTAGCAGGGGGAGAATTCCCTGAGGCAGTGTAGGGCAGTGGGAGGCTGACAGCCTTTTGAGCAGACAGTTCTGAGTTCAAATTCTGACATCACCGCTGTCTAGTGTGGTGGCAAGCGAATGAGCAGAGCCTGCCTCTTGCTACAGCTCGAGACCCCCAGGGCTCCTGTGCAGCCTGAAGCTTCATAGGCAAAGATGAAATGAGATTCTGGAATTGAGTGTTCAATGATCTTACTAGCTTTCTTTAAGAGATGAGGAGGCGAGGCTCAGAGGAGCTGCTGAACTTTCCCAGGGTCCTACCAGTAGCAATTCAGGGCCCCATGCCTGGGTCTGTCTGACCCCCAAGGCCTCGTTCCTAACTGCAAAACCATGTGCTTTCGTCTTCATCCTGTACTTCCAGGAAGAACAGCCTGTTTGAGTTCGTGTCTGAGCACCAGCTCAGCTGCCCCAGGGAGCTCCTTGCCAAAGCCAGAGGAGAAAACCTCTTTAAGGATGAAAACTTGATGGTAAGCAGGGCTTTGTAGACAGGGACAAAGAAGCTGGGTTCCTCTGGTCCTCCTGTGGCACCGGGCTGATGGCTGGGTGTGTGGGCACGTTCCTTTGCAAGCACAAGCTGGGTAAGAGCCGAGCTGCCCCGGCAGGGAAGAGGCTGGTGGGCCCTGCTTGAATTTCACACGCTCAGCCCTCTGTCCTTTCCACCTGCCATTTTTCCTTCCTTCCACCTTCTCTCCCATCTTCCTCCCTCTTTCTCTCTCTCTCTTACTCCTCCTTCCTTCCACAAACCTGAGACCCAGGAGGCTCTACACTAGGCCTTAGTGATTCCATGGCAAATAAGAGAACCCTATCCTGGCTGGGCACAGCCCTATAATCTGAGCACTCTGGGAGGCCAAGGCGGGAGGATCCCTTGAGCATAGGAATTCAAGACCATCTGAGCAAGAGCAAGACCCCCATCTCTACTAAAAATAGAAAAAAAATAGCTGGCTGTTATGGCAAGCACCTAAACTCAGGAGGTTAAGGCAGAAAATCACTTGAGCCCAGGCGTTTGAGGTTGCTGTGAGCTACGATGCCATGGCACTCTATCCAGGGAAACAGAGTGAGATCATCTCAAACTAACAAACAGAAAAAAAAAATGGAGCAATTGAAAAAGAAAACCTGTCCTCACAGGTCTTGTAGTCTGGTGAGGGGTGACAGGGAGCATTTTAAATTAAAACCCATGTCAGATGTTGATAAGGGTTCTTGACCCCTTAGACAAGGAAGGAGCAGGAAGGAGTGGGGAAGGGGTGGGGAAGGCAGAGAAGGCCTCTCTGTGGAAGTGACTTCGGGCAGAAACCTGGATGCAGGGCAGCAGGGAGCAGACACCAGATGATGGCTGGGCAGAGATCTTGAGCATCTAATAGACAGCAGGGAACATAGGGAGCTCAGACATGATTGGTGCTGGCAGCCAGACAAGATGGTCCTGTGGGCCAGCTGTCAGCACAGCCAGTGCACCACCTGCTCTTGTAAATAAAGCTTTATTGGCACATGGCCCTGCATACTTCCTTGCACTTTATCTATGGCTGCTTTCCTGCTATGGGGACAGAGCTGAGGAATGACCAACACTGTGGCCTACAGGGCTTAAAATATTTACTAGAACATCTGCCCTGTGCATAAAAGTTCCCTGGACTATAGGGAGAGGTGCTCAGCCGCCATTCCTTGCCCCCAAAATCAGCTTCCTAAAGCTCCCTCAGGCACCTTCCTCTAGGAAGCTCACCTCTGCCCTTGTCTCCTGTGCTCAGCCCCACCCAGAGCCATCTTCAGGCTGTCACTGGCAGTTGGTGACTCTGTGAGCTGACCCTGGGTGGCAGTGAGTTCTGACAGGGCAGGGTGATGTGACAGTCACTTCCTCACCCACAGAAGCTCCAGGCCCAAGTGGACACTTAGCAAATGTTTGAGGACAGGCAGAAGGAGAAGGCTGCGATTCCACAGTTAGGGGCAATGCTTGTCTCTAATGCGTGGAAGGATTTCAAGTGTGTTGGAAAAGGGTTTGGGGGAGTCAACACCCTCATGCTTGGACTTTATTTTAAGCTGACTGTGAGCACTTGTGTTGCTCCATGGTTCACTGTGTATTAGCAGCTCACAGACAGGGCCTGGCATGTATCGGGCAGTTTGAATGGTCGAATGAAAAATGAATCTGGGCTCCTTTCCAGCTGCATGTACACACCTCACAGGGCCATGATGACAAGGACCACACCTGCCGTGGCCACTACGGTGTCTCCACACTTAACACAAAGCTGAGCACGGGTAGTTTGCAGTGGATAAATGGACTGCTGTCTGGCAGGTTCCCCAGTGACTCATGGCTGTAGATGTGGCACTGAGGTGGTCTGCGTCTCTCCCCCAGGTGTACCCCATTGTGGACTTCCCCCTGCGGGACATCTCTCTGGCCTCCCAGAGGGGCATTGCCGAGCACAGTGCTGCCCTGGCCACCCACGCCCGTGTCCTGCAGCAGGTGAGCCCAGGCTGGGGCTGGGGGGTGCTGTCCACCCTTTGGGGTTGTCCCAGGGCTGGTGGGACCAGGCTGATGATACAGTCCTCTCTCTGCCTGGGGGCTCTTTCCTGAGAACGTCAGGGCAGAAGGATGAGGCAGACTTAACGTGGCAACAGTGGGGGAAGTGGAGGGGGCCGGAAAGGGCTGGGGCTGACCCGAGGCCAGAGAGGCAGGAGGGACCACAGGCCACTTCCTGGAGAGGTTGGGATTTTGTTCTGAGAGAAACAAGATGTTACGTGGTGTCAAATACCCATGTGGCATAGTGTGATCCTGACACTAACTCCCTGATATTCAGGTAGGGGTAGGGAAAGCTCGAGAGTCAGAGCCTTGAGCCAGGCTGCAGCCCAGTGTCCCACCGCTCCGGGTGGGCAAGTCCGGGACACCTGCCTGTGTACTCCCGGCCACCTGTGTTCTGGCTGCTGCATGCCGATGGCCACTAGGTGGCGGTGGTGCCTGCCACTTCCCCAGCCAGCCCTGCCCTGCCCGGCCCTTCTTGGGCCCGGGGACGCCCCCTGTGCTACAGCTCTGTTGGAGGGCGACCTGGCCGCTGACCTTGCAGACTGGGCTCAGATCCTGGGTCACCTTTGATCTTGGGTCAGCTACTCCTCTCTTTCCAGGCCAGTTTCTTACCTGTGAAAAGGAGGCACTAAACTAAAGCATCTCAGAGGGTTTTGAAAGGGGGAGATTATTTGCTTGAAGTGCTTTGGCACCAGACCACAAAATGTCCTTTTTATTTCTGTCCTTTACAGTGACCGTATCCTTTTCTCTCTCTCTGCTCTCTGCACATCTTGTCTATTTTCAGGAGAGAGAGGGATGCATTTTATCTAAATGAATGTGGACCATCTTGGAGCTGGGAGGGGACTTTAAAATCACGTAGTTCAGACTCTGCAAAATAAAATGCTTTCCGGGGCCAGGTGGTGATGTGGATGAGAGAACCTCTCATCCAAAGGGACCAGTCACCGCTCAGCTTGGTGTAGGCACAGAACTCAGAGTTTCCAGACCGTCTGAAGTCCAGATTTGCATATGAAACCATTACATTTTTCATATTGTTAACAATTTATTTTCAAGCTAAGAATGCTATGTGGGCTCACAAGTCTGCTTTGGTCCAAGGGCCACTGTTGGCTTTCCCTAGTCCAATACAAGCTCATGACTTTTCCCCCAAATCGGAGGAGGCCCTGAGAGTGGATGCAATTTGCCCAAGGTCACACAGTCTGTAAGGGGAAGAGCCCAGGCATAGGAATGTTTCTTGATTCCAAGTCCAATGTCATTATTCATTGCATTCAAGATATACAGGTGACTCTGAAAGCTAGTCTAGGCTTGCAGGGGTCTTATCAGTGGAGAGCGGGACAGAGGGCCCTTTTCGCGGGCCAGACCCAGAGGGTGCCCTGTACTGACCGGGCTAGTACCTGCTGCCCTGCTCTGACACTCACTGCTGGCTTTGAGCTCTTCTCTGCCTTTCCTGTGGCCTCAATGTCCTCTTCTGCAGAATGAGGGGAGTTGGCCATTGACTTAGGTTGGGCTCTGCAGAAGCAGATCCTGAGACGAGGCCGTGTGTGCACAGCATTTAAGGAAGGGATTCCAGGAGGAACCAGGAGGGCAGAGGGGGAAGGAAGAGCCAACGCAGGGTCGAGTGCAGGTGACATCCCAGCTTCTGGTCCCAGGGAAACTTGCTCAAACCCTTACATCTGTACCTCGGTGACTGCCTAGAGGCCAGGGAGATGGGCTTTTTGTCATTCCCTGCCCTTCCCCTCCCTGGGTGCTGCCTGGCGGGGGCGGGGCTGGGGGGGCTCTAACTGCTTCCTCTCCCCCTCTCCAGGATTAGACTGTATGCAGGAAGGTGAGCTGGGAGCACACAGCAGCAGGGGGTGGGTGTGCAGAAGCAGACTGCAGGATGTCTGGATTTGGGGAGAACAGTCTACTGAAAACCCAGGAATAGTCTCTAGAGGGCTGGCTCTTCAACACTGGTGTGCTATGGTTTGAGTTACAATTATGAGGCCCAAATGTTAAGGCATTGTCTTTGGGGATGAGTAGAGGGTAGAGAAACAGTGGGTGAGGTGAGGAAGTTATTTTAGCAGCTTGTGGACACTAGTTGTTATCCGGAGACTTTTTTACTTTTCAGGCTGATAATTGGAGTCCTTTTTGGACCCTTTGTTTGGTAGGTGGGAAAACGGAGGCCCAAGGAGGGGAAATGACCTGCCAAAAATCACACGGCATGTTGGTGGCAGGTCTGGGACTAGAAGTTAGGTCTCTTGATGCTTCTCCTCGGGGACGTAGCCCTGTCTCAGGCAATATAAGCCATTTGCAAACCAATCCTGGCCAGGAGTGGTGGCACATGCCTGTAATCCTAGCACTCTGGGAGGCCGAGGTGGGTGGATAGCTTGAACCAACCTGAGCAAAAAAGCGAGACCCTGTCTCTAATAAAAATAGAAAAACTGAGCGATCAAGAGGATCACTTGAGCCCAAGAGTTGGAGGTTGCCCTGAGCTATGACACCAAGGCACTCTGTCCAGGGAGACAGCTTGAGATTCTGTCTCAAAAAACAAACAAAAAACAGAACCAATCTTAGAGCTGGGCGGTGTAAGCCAGGGCACAAATACACATTTTTCTGGAGTCACTTCTGTGAATCTTTTTTCTAAATTTGCCTTTAGTTCTGAAACTTTAGACAAAGATTCATGCCAATATTTTTCTCAGGACAGAGTAGAATCTAATTATGAGCAGACGGCTGCCACTATAATGTGCCCCCGCCAGGCCAGCCCAGCCGTGACTGTGGGACCTGGAATCTGTCATTGCTGGGCCAAGGCCAAGCCACAGGGACAGATAAACAACTGCTTATAAGATCACCACTTGATGGCGCTTCACGTCTTGAGCAATTTGTACCAGAAACAGATGGAGGCAGGTGGGGTTGGGGGTGGGGGTGGAGGTGGTATCAGTCTATTCCCTGAGATCTTAGCAGAAAAGTCTGGAAATGAGAGTGGTCCTGACCTTGGTGTCCAGGCCTTCTGAGCAGTGACACTGCCAGCCATCTCTCTTGCTCTTTGCTTTCCCCTTTTGGGGTCTTTTACAACAAAATTTCAAGAGAGGTCTTCTTTCTTTCATTTTCAAAATTATCATTGATAATGCATGTCTTTATATAAAGAAAAGTCAGTCTCCTGATCTCATTTGGTTGTCTCAGCAGCGCTGTGAAGTGGAAGTTTTTGTACCCATTTCTCAAATGTGGAAACTGAGGCCCAGAGAAACAGAATACAAAGATTATAGGAAACTGAAAGGAAATTTCATGCCTTCACTGGAACTCCCCTCTTTCTTCTGTAGGGCAGCAGGGAGCCTCTCAAAATCCCCTCCCAACTGTGCTCCCCGGGGATTGCTAGAGGAGTTTTGTTCTGGAGCGGAGAGAGAAGTTGAAGCAGCCAGATGGCTTCAGCCACACTCCTGGTCTGTTTTACCTTTTTCCCCTGGGCCTCTGAGCCATCAACTAGAGCAATAGGACTTGGGACTCTTGTCTTAACAGAAAAAAATTCCTGCAAATAAAGAGGGTCTGATCCTGGGCCGCTCATGCGGCCTTTCTTTGGGTTTGAGATTCCTAGACCAGAGTCTGGGCCAGGGGAGGAATTCATACAGAGAACTTAGGTGTTGGGGCACAGAGCCTGGTCCACAGTAAGTCCCCAAGAAAGTTTAGCTCAAATGAGAGGGAGTAACATTCCTACATCAACTATGCAGCCTAGTTGCCAATAACAAAACAGTACCCAATGCTAATGGAGACGGAGTGCCTCTATAGGGGCCTAAAGCTTTCTCCCAAGGTGGGGCTATTCTGTTCCAACCAGGGCCTCATCACAAGGACAGTTGTTACAGGAATGCTCAGAGAAGGGGCTAGAGAATGGGGGACTTAGGACCACCTTGGGGGAGGAAGAGAGGTCCCCATCCTCTACTGGGGGGCGTTTAAGAAGAGGTAGATACTGAGGCAGCAATGTGAGGATTGTAGCTGTGGCAAGCAGGGGGCCTTGAACTGGATAATCTTTCAAACCTGAAATCCCATGAGCCCCTGGAACTCAGTTTCCCCATTTGTAAACGGGAGTGGGAATACCTGAGAAAGACTTTTCTCAAAGTAGGGTTGATATAAAACAATAGTGGTGATGGTAGAGGAGAAGGTCTGAGAAAGTATCTCTACACGGTCCACCAAACTGTGACATTGGGGGGCAGTCAATGCTTTATCTTAAAATTTAATTCAAATTTTATAAACTACTCTCATGGTTGTTTTAATATAAAAATGTGTTAAATGACTTTATTCTCCACCTTGTCCCAGCATCCCATCTGAAAATTAATGCTGCTAGTGGCTGTGGCTTAGCTTGTGGCTCTCCATGTACCCCAGAACTCCCCTGAGAATGCCTGTGCCCACTTGGTGAGACCTAGAATCAGGTGAGACCTAGATCAGGTTGAGAAGTCACTTTGGCCAGAAGATAGGGGATATGAAAGAGGCATAGTAGAAAATACATCTAGAAAGGCAGATTGGAGTCAATTTGCGCAGCTCCTAGAATGCCAACTGCAGAGCATGAACTTTATCCCACAGGTAGTAGGGAGCCACTGAAGGTTCTTGAGCAGATGAGTGACTTAAACAGATCACTGAAGTTACACTTGGCTATTTGTTTCCTCAGCGCCAGACCATTGAGCTGATCCCCCTTACAGAAGTTCATTACTGGTACCAAGGAAAGACTTATGTCTACTACATCTACGGCACTGACCACCAGGTGCATGCAGTTGACTACCCTGAGCGGTACTGCTGTGGCTGCACCATCATCTGACACAACACAGCTGTCCCCAGGACCCGCCATTCACGTTTGCCAAGGAGGACAAAAGGGAGTCTCGGAGTTTTCTCATAGTTGGCTACTTTGGAGAACTATATACAGCCCCCAGCATGTCTTTCCAGAAAAATCAGCTTATAATCTGTCAAGCCTCAACTCCTTTTGGTCCCCTTCTGGTGGAATTCAGCTACACACATTCCTTTAGGGCAAATGAAATAAATAATTTAAATAGCAAGGGCTTTGTCTGGGTCTCCAAGCTAATGCCCCAATGAAGCCTGTGATTTGATTTTGCTTTTCCCTTTGTCCATCTTGGGTCTGCTGTGCTACTCCTAGTGTGAGCCTCTTGCCAAGCTGAGGGTTATTGAAATGTTTAAAGATACACCCAGATTTGCTACCCTGATGCACAAGAAATAATGAATGCACCTAAGCATAAAGTACAAAATTCTACTGCCTGTTCTATGGGTCAGGAATTCAGACACCTCTGCTCCATCGTGTCTGGAGGATTTGAAGTGTGGGGTGGCTCAAGGGTGGGAACGGAAATCTTCTGAAGGCTGATTCACTCCTTTGTCTGGTGGTTGACGGCGGCCACTGGCCAGGCCTTGGCATGGGGCTTCTGCATGGAGCTTGGGCTTCCTTACAACATGGCACCTCTGAGGGCCAGAGCCCCTTCTGTAACTGAAGAACAAACCAGCTGTATTATGTAGACTAAGAATCTGTATGCTATTCTGTAACACGGCATGTATATAGGAGATTTAGAGAGTGATTTTGAATGATGCAGTTTTTCTTTTACATCACAGGCTGACCTGAGAACCTGCCCACTGAGTAAGATGTGAACTTGGTGTTCTGTGTACCAAGCATGTGCAGGAGCCCACCTGGCAGAGGGAGGCTGGGTGGAGGGGACACCCTGCTGGTGACCCAGAACTAGTGCTGGGTCAGCATTGGAGAGTTGTCCTGGGCTGGATGGGCCTCCATGAGCTGGGTGGTAGGCAACCTGTCATCTTACAGTATCCACACCGCACCCAGTAGGAGATTGCTACAGCAGGCAGTGACCTCAGGAAGCAGATGCCGAGAGGGCCGGTTGGTGCCCTCTGCTGATCCTCACATTTCCCCACTAAGATGAGGCTGTAACAGGCCTAGCTGGGGTAGGCCCAACCCACAGGGCATCACTGATAAATGATTTGCAATGAAGACTCCCATCCTCACCTGCTACTACTTGAACCCTGACTCACCCCAGGATCACCAAACACCTGTTTAGGTGTTGCTGTTTTCACAAGATTGGCTGAACCATATTGGTGGGTCCTGGCTGACGCGGGGGTGATTGGCCTTGCTAACAGGAGCAGCAGGGCTTGGGGCGGGGGGTAATCCCAGCTCCCTGAGACTGCACAGAAGCCCAAGGGGAACTTGACCAAGGGGCAAAGAGACGCGAACTTGGAGGCTCAGATTTTGGCTCTTGCTCTGACTCCTTCAGACAATTCCGCAGGCTCAGCTTGTCGGGGGACCAAGATGAGGTGTTTCTCAGGGGCAGTCAGGGTGCACTGGGCCACAGACAGCACACACTCCTTGAGGACAGAACCTGGTGGCAGCAGCGGAAAGGGAAGTTTACCCACGGAAGAGCCTACCTCCTCCTACTCCCACAGCTCCAGCATGCTTGAGTCTGGGGGGCTTTGCTCAGGCTTAACAAGGAAGGCCATCACCTCCCACCCCAGTGTCCCTCTGGCCTGTCCCTGTGGTCCTCAAAGGGGACACTTCTGCCTCTAAGGGGCATTGTACAAATGAAGGGGACGGTTTGGGGCTGTTGCAATGATTAGAAGTGCCACTTTTGGTATCAGGTGAATGGAGTCTAGGAATGGAGTCAGATGCCCGGCATTGTCTGGGAGCGTCTCACACGACTTGGAGATGTCCTGCTGACATTAGCCTGTAGGATGCACTTAGATATACACAGAAGTCTCGTGAGTTACTGCTTCACGTAATGCTAATTTTTATTTCACGTTCACCTCTGCTCTTTGGTTTTTCCATGTAGTTTTCCATTTCTTGTTTGAAACGACTTCTGATCATTTTACTTTCCTTAAAACTAACTACTGACCACTTCGTCTTGACTCCTTGCGTGGCTGCGCCTGAGCATGTGCAAACTGAAACTTATGTATTTAAAAATTACTTATTTCTCCTTTACATTTCAGTTTGGGCAAAAGTTGCTTTTGTGTAGGGGGGTGCCTGTGGCTCAAAGGACGGGCGCCAGCCCCGTATGCTGGAGGTGGTGGGTTCCAACCCAGCCCCAGCCCAAAACTGCAATAAATAAATAAACATTCATTCAATGTATAAACGCATATGTGACATCTTTCAGATAAATATGTGACATCTTTCAGATGAAAGACAAAAGTAGCCTTACACGTTGGGGATCGTTTAAAAAAAAAAACCAAGCAACATCTGTTATGTAAGTCAGGCTATATGTGAATTTTATTGTAGGATATAAAGGGAGCTCGGAGGATGTTAAGGTTAGAACACAGTGACCCATCCACCCTGTTCGCTTGTGAACCTAACAGCAACACGGTAGCTGGAATAAAGGGGTGCAGAGGAACAGTGAGTCGCAACGAGCTGAGAGCCGCAGAAACTTTAGTTCTGATGCTCCCACTAAAACCTCAGACGGGTACCGGGTACTCCTGCCTTTTGACAACTGTTTTTCCTTGTAGTGTCATCTGTTTTTCTAACATTCACTGAAGCCAGGATATGATTTCATTTGCTCTTCCTTCCTCTCTCTGTTATAACATGTAGCCTTGCACCCAAGCGGAGTCGCCGGGGTAGAGAGTAGTAGGTGCCTAACCCTAAAACTGTCCACCGTGGACTGTGGCTCTGGGCCCGATTCAATTCTATTTTGAAAAAATATTAAATTCAAGCTACTTGCTTTGTCTTGATCTCCCTGCTGAAGGAGAACACTAGTGCTGTTCTTTCCTAGTCACTGACAATCACAGGGTCTGTGCCAGGTGGCCCTGGCCCCGCTGGCTTAGTGAGAGTATCACAAAGATCTGAAGTTCTCTGCCCTAAGTCTGCAGAATAATAGAAGAGACTATATGTGAACACAAGAAAATGAAAGGATCAACATGAGGGTGAGTAGCTGGACAAGAGGAAAATACAACCCAAGGTGGAGGTGGTAGTTACAAGGGACGAATTCACAGGGACTTAAGCAGAAAAGGTCATTGATTAGCTCTTGCACTTTAATCAAATTTACCAGCTGCAGGTGTAGCTGGATCCAGGGATTCGAACAATTTTGTTCCAACACAATCTCCCCTGCCCTCTGCCTTTTCTGTATGTTTTTCTCTCTTTTGCTTTTGTTTTCAAGCAGGCTTTCTCCACCTCCACCTGATAGGAAGACAGTTCTACTAGTAGTTCTAGAATGTAATGATATTGTGCTCAGTGACACTAGGAAAGCATCTCAGAAATACCTCTCTGTGGCTGGGCCTGGGTCACATGCCCATCCTTGAACCAATCACTGGCTAAGGAATACAGTGATTGTATTGGTCAGCTGAGGTCACATGTTCCCCCAGCGGGGTCAGCCTCTGCCAAATCAGAAAGGAGACTGGAAGCTGGGTAGGCAGAAACATCACCTGTGCACTAGTGGGGCAGACAGAAAGTGCTGAGTTTCTCCAGGATGGTGTCCTGGAGTTTTCTGTGTGCTCTGTCACAAATGACATCTTATGCCAAAGAGGAGAGATTGGGGTGGGTCCTTTCCTTGCCAAGCCCTGCATTTCGGTTCCCTGAATTCGGTGGGATTGCAGGGCTAGTATGCTTCTGCACTTTGGTTTTTAAAAGTCTGAGTTTGGACTGACCTGGGGCTTACTTCTTGAGGGTGTTGGGGGAGGCATGTGGTCTTGGAATGGGGAAGTGTGTCGTCTATGTGCGTGTGTAATGTGTGTGACTGTGAGTGTGTGTACGTGTGTTTGCTGAGAGGGAGGGACACTGCTGGAAAGCAGGAGGGGCTTCTTCACCCCCTCCCCTGGTTTTCCTTCCCTTCTTTCCTGGTCCCTGCTGTTCTTTGCAGTTCTCAATATGATGGCCTTCATCCTGTGGTCAGCTTGTTATAACATGCCTGACGTCAATTTTTAGGTCATGGGTAGCTGTTAATATGGAGAATGATTTGAATAACTGCGTTTTCAGTTAGAGCAAATGACCCATGTGGGAATTATGCTTCTCAGCAGGAAGGGGCCTAGGACACAGGATGGAACATTTTTTAGGGGAGACAATCAGGGGGATCCAGAATCACCTGGTGTGGCCTCTGTGATCACCGGCTGAGGTGCACACATTGGCTGGACGACATGTCACCAGTCTGGGGTGCACACCTTGGCTAGACCAGTGCCCCTCTGCTTGCCTGCTCTATGCCTGGAGGACCACCTGACTGTTGGGACAGGCGTAAAGACTCTGCAATTGTGGAGATACCAGCTCTGAGTCACACGGGAGGCTATAGGAGAGGCAAATGTTGGGAGGGAGAGCTCGAATTTTCAGGCATTGGGGGTGGAGCAAAAGGGGGTGTCCAGGCAGAGGCTCTGGGGACCATGTGACTTAGGCAAAGGTTTCCAAAAGCCAGTCCGAGTGTTGGGACCTGACTCTACACCAGCCTTTCCTGCAAAGCTCATCAGATGCAGACTCCCGCTCTCAGGCCTAGATGTTTGCAGTAATGGGGGATGAGAATTTATGATATAAACAAGCACCCCCAGAGAGTTCTTAGGCACAGTCAGAACAGGAATTTGGCACCTGGAGTCAAAATTGTTGGGCATTGGGATTAAAACTTAAGTGTCATTTCTTAGCTCACAGTGGGCAGGCCTCCTTTAAGCCTCAGTTTCTTCATCTGTGAAATGGAGATAATCTTTAGCTACTCCAAGGGCTGTTTGAAGACTCACAGGAGATACTGGGTGTAACACCAAAGCTCTGCCTGAATATTTTTCTTAGTAAGAGTGGGAAGACAGCCCGATGGTTTCCAAGGCTCCTGGCCCACTTCTCACTGTGTCCCCTGGGGTCAGCCTGAGGTTCCTGAGACCTGGGAGAAGCTCCTTCCAAACCAGTGGCTTCAGGGTCCGTGTCAAATCCCAGTGGTTCCTGGGCCGTGGGGCCTCCTGCAGGACCCA